TATTTCACCATTTTTGTAAAGTGACATCGCATTTTTAATTGTTTTCTATTCGTGCATATCACCCATTTTCGTTGCTCAGAATTCTCGCAGATAAGCTTAAGTGCTTCGAAGATAGCCCCAAATTCTGCTGTTGTCAATAAAGATTTGCGGCATAATATGTATATTTTCTTCTTCTAAATTTCGGTTAAAGTACCACACAGGCTGACGCTTCTTCAGTGCATGATCCATCTGTATATATCTTCGTTTTTTCATTATGCATTATATGAAATTGATGAAGTAGCATCTGTGCCGCTGCTAGAGGCACCAAATATGCTTTCTTCCGTATGCCATCTATTTCAGAGATAAGGTTGAGAAGTGGCAGCGTCCAAGGTGGTTTTGAAGGTTTCCCTTGTTTAAATCCTGGTACTACTGCTTGGAATAATGATACACTACCCTGAAGTCGCGTTGCTGTTCTTTGTGTTAGTGCACCAGATAAAGGATGACTTTCATGTTGCATGAAAATTCTAAATAAATTTCTAGACGTTTCTTTGGCTCGGAGTACTGCCAAAGGTGGTTGTCGAGCCTCTGCATACACTAAAGCACTGGAAGTTGACCGTGGCGACCCCAGACGTACCCTTTAGCTCCTTGCCAAGTGAAGCCTCCTTTCCGTGGAGGCTAAAAGTCTGTGCAGCAGAGGCAGCGAGTAACTTTAATGGGGCGTATCCACGCAATATATAGGGCCAATAGCGACTCTGCAGTACCACCGCATTCAGCCCCACAGAGATACCGGGAGATTCGAATGGCTTGATTCACTTTTTGTCCAAGCGACTGGGCATAAGGCGACCATGTTAGTCTCTGGTCTAAAATCACACGCAAGAATCTAAGAGTTCTTACTATATGAATAGGCTGGTTTTGCAGAATAATATGGAAATCGACAAGTATTTTTAACGTAAGCGGTAGTATGGCTGTTTTAGCCAGACTCAGTGCCATACCTTTTTTCTTAGGAAACGGTCTACATAATCCAATTCTTGTAAAGTTTTTTGGACATCCAAAAATGATGGACCCAACGTTCATATACTTATATCATCAGCATATACTGAACATATGATGTTAGGTGGAAGATTATACGGAAGCTGCGCCATGACTGCATTAAACAGAGAAGGGCTTAACACGCTGCCCTGAGGCACTCCTTGGTTGACAGCGTGTTTTGACGTTGGGCCCTCCTGCGTAACTACAAAACTTTGCCGGTGCTGCAGGAAGTCAGCTATCCAACGTAGTATCTTGCCCTTAAATCCCTGCAACGCCAGGTCTTCCAGAACGTGAACTTGACTCACTGTGTCGTATGCTCAGTGAACATCAAGGAATACAGCGACAGTGATGTCTCCTTGCGTACGTTGGTTTCCCACATCATGACCAAGTCCAAAATGCAGTCGATTGTGCATCTACCTTTATGAAACTGGTTATGCTTTCTGGTAGTAGTTTCTTCATGTCTTAATGTAAATTCATTCAATGATCAATTTCTCCATCACATTCAAAATACAACTTGCCAAACTAAGCGGCTTCAACGAATCTAACTGCATAGGGCACTTTCCTGGCTTCAGCAATGGTACTACTTTTGATATCTTCCAACTTTCCGGAACATTTTCTTCTTGCCCACTTTTATTGTAAATCTCCGACAAGTGTAATTTTCCTTTATCGCACAAATTAGCAAGTACAGCATATGTAACTCCACCTGGTTCTGATGAACTTGTTCGTTTTACTGAAGACAGCGCATATTGGAGCTCCTCTGGTTTGAAGCTGTCATCCAGATCTGATGAACTGACTGCAGAGAACTTCCTTGCGACCACCGAAGCTGATTCTGCTGAGGATTTATATTCACTAGTTTGGACAGCCTGTCTATTTCTCAGTATTAGATCGCAAAACTCTTCGGCAATCACACGTTCGCTAACACCTCGAGACAGCGCTAGAGCCTGTAGTGGTCTCGAGCAGACTGTTCGAGGGCACGTACCATGTACCACAGTTGAGGCGCCGATGTAAATGGAGAAAGAGTGGCACATAAATCTTGCCGCCTTTTGGTTGAAAACTTCTGCGGCTGGTTCTGCATTGCGGAATGTACTTTCTGTGCAACCTTGAAATCTTAATTTCCCGACCTGCGATATCTTCTTACAGATCGGCGTCGTATTTCCCGAAACCACTCATACTCAGCGTCAACACCCGCATACCCATATGGAATGGGTACTGCACAAGTAGCTTTTGTTAGAAAATGTTTTATCTTCAATGCATACGTTTCTGCGTCATAATAAGGCTCAAGATGTCTCTGTAGTTCTTAAAAGATTGCCTGATTTCTAATTCTTGTTGCGCAGCTTTCTCGTTTTCTTCAACTTTGTGTGATATACGAATACTGCCAAGTGGTAACTTCCTCTTGTATCAGCGTCTGTAGTCCAGTCCGCTGCAGCCGCTAATTCAGAGGAGCACACAGGGATGTTTAGCACACTGCAGTAGTTATGCCCCCGTGGGGAAATGGGAGAACCGTCATTCAGTATAGCGTAACCTTGGTCTTCACATATATTTACTATAGCAAGTCCCTTTACGTCACAATGCTCACTACGCCACAATGCACAGTGCGCGTTAAAATTCCTACATATACTTATGGGATCATGATCAGATCTACACACTGCAGCCAACTCTGCGTACAAAACTTTTGCTTCAGTGTGCACGTATGCACCAACTGCAGTTACAGTAACGTTACCAAAGTTCACCTTGCATCTAACAAATTCTGGTGCATCTGTTTTTGAAGTCGGCACTAGTGACCAAGGGATATCACGTCTCACACACAACACCACTCTACCTTTGGCAGCAGGACCTTCTGCTTGGTACACCACATAATTAGACAAGCAATAGTTAGTGGATATCTTGTTTCAGAAATACACAAAATCGGAAACCCGTGCTGAGCGACGAATTTCCGAAAATCTCGACTCTTATTCTGCAAATTGTTGCAGTTCCACTAGAATATTGCACTTCTTTTGTACCAGTTGAATAGTCTGGTAGCCATGATTACTACAAGATAAGATGCTCAACATCCAGCAGCAATTTCACTTCTGGTAAAGAACCTGCTTGTGGTAGGGATTGTAGAATTGCTTTAGGAGCCGCAAAGATTATTGGCAAAATGACTTGCTCGTTTCCGGCTGTCTCCGCCGAGATCGCATTTCTTGAAGACTTTTTCCTCAGCAAGCTGCTGCGACCCTTCCCTTTGGTAGTCAGTGGCTCTTTGGCTGTGTCAGGCCCGGCAGAAAGTTTCACTTCAACATGTTCTTGGGCCCGGACTTCTTGGCCAACGCGATGTTTTTGTGCTGAGCGCTTCAATACTTCCAAGTAAGAGTCATGGCGCCACTGTTTTGGATTTCTTTCTGCCGCAGGAACATCTTCGACAATATCCGCATTGGGCACTACACCTCTTTGTATCTTACGGTACCCTTTTACAATTCTCTCTCTTTGTGCCGTCGATGCCAACGGTTTCGAGAGCAGCCTGAAAATGACGCCAGATGTGGTCCAGCACAGTTTGCACACTCAGGTTGACGCTTGCAGGTGCATTCTTTGTAATCAAGTGTGCCCACACATACCTTGCATCTCTTGGTTCCCCTGCAAGTTTCAGCCATATGCCCATATCTCTGGCAGTTGTAGCACCCTACGGCCTCAGATTACACAACTGTTGTTCAACCAACACGCAAGCCCCCTACAGCACCTCAGGTTACACGATGATCTGTACCTTCTCTGAGAAGTTGTCACAGCCAATCTCTTTGAAAATCAGCACATGGGCGTGACGTTCCACGTAGCGATAGATAGAGAGCTGACACTTCAGGGTGTAAGGAAGCGTCTCGTGCTTTGGTACTTTCGTCAAAGAGACTTTACCGACCATCATCAGTAAGCGATGTCCTGTATGCAAAAGTAACGCTTTGCTTTTTGACAGGAGCCGTATTCAGAAGCGCTCTGTAGTGTCACTTGCCACAAGGCAACGCCCTCAACGCTTGCCTTGGGGCAACGAGCTAGAAAGCGTTTTCTGACTTAAAGGCTGAGATTGCAGTGCCGCTCCAAGTCAAGGTGACAAAAAATGAAAAAAAAAATATGTTCATGCGTCAAGCACCACCATAACGCAAAAGCGAATCAATTCACACTGTTTTAAAACAAAGTTTGCTTTCTTGCAGCAAGATAAGTACAATTTTCACTTTTCTTTTCAGCATATATATTGACTTTCATGCGTCGCGATTGCCTTGAACGAAAGACGCTTCCCTAAAAACCAACAAAACGCGTTGCGCTTCGGTAATGTTGAGTGTTTGAGCGGAACGGGGAACGTACCGCAGAATAAGCCAGCTAAGAGCGCCTAATGTCTATTGAAAAAAAAGCAATCTATGAACAGGGGTTGCGTGTTAGAGCTGACGTTTAGACAAGCGGATTTGTCCTCTTCAAGGCTACAACTGTTCCCAAGTCCATTTGTCGAAACGCCGCCTCAAGCAGAAATGCCCTGTTTATTTTTAATTAGCAACACAGACTTCAGGTCTATAAATTCAATGAAAAATTCTTCCTTAATTGTGCGCATGGTGAACTTTAAGTTTTTTTTTCGATGACAGCGTTTCTCGGTTTATAAATTTTATAGCTATCGGCCAGGAAAAACCGCGCTTCCATTTTCCGTTCGTGTTGCGAGTACCACTAAAGTTCTTTTGCAGCTCTTTTCTATTGATCATTTCTTAATTACAGCTGCTGTCGGTGGGTATCCGGTTATGAGAGCCCTTCTGTACGGAAACACTTTTTTTCCTTCGCAATACCGACTTGCTGGACAGTTCTTCACGGGAGAGCAGTCCAAGAAAAACAGAATACTGCACGCCAATAAAACAAAATTAAGTTTGAGGCCGTTGTACTAACAGTGCAAAGGCATTGGAATAACGAATTCTCGTATACATTCGCAGATTTTATAAAAAATCTCAGTAGTACACAATTAACACCATAGTGTTATAAAGACTGCTTACGATGTCCCTCGAAGTCAAGTGTCATGATTCCGCACGTTGTGTAGTCTGTGTAAGGGTATCTTGCAGTCTGCCGAGTGCTGTCATCTGCAAAAGGAAAAAGCAATGCACATTCTTTAGGTTATAAGAAGCGAAATTGTTCCGTTGGGCCTGTGCGGGCCACTGAAAACGTGCAGCAGTGCGAAAAAGCATTTTTATCAGATAAAAGAAGTGGCTTAAAGAAAGTTCTGTAGAGTAATGGTAGGGGACAGCCTGTAATAACTAGCCTGTGCCAAAATCGAAGAAGTTCATTGTTTATGAACAAGTACGCTTCCTTTTGGTGGATCGATGCTGGTCCATTAATTCAGAAGAGATAGCAGGCGTATATATGAAAAGTATGATTAAGCTTCATTGTAGTACGACTACGCAGTTTTGAGAATAAATCTATTCCTTTGCTAAATGTCAAAGCAAAGTACATAGCTCGGAGCAATATTTTCGAGTTAAACGACACACGACATAGCCACCTACGATCTTCGAAAAGGTGAAAATATTTCTGACAGGTGTTTTTGTTTTCTTTTTGGACTCCACGTAGTTCGTATACTGCTTCATAGCTGACTATTATTAATGAGAACTAACATACAATATTTCCCAAAAAATGTACGGGACATTATTAGGAGATAATGTAATGTAAACGTGAAGAAAGAAAAGCGGACGAAAAGACAACTTGCCAGTAGCAGGGACCGAGCCTCAGACTTTCGAATAATGCGTCCGATGCCCTACAACCAAGCGGTAGCAATCATCCCCCCCACCCACTCACGGTCCACAAAATAGGGTATACATGTGCATTTACACGTGTGAGTGTCAGTCAGCGCCACCTGCTGCCATTACGACAAGTGTCGAACGCTTTTTTTTCACCTGTTTGGCTTCACGTAGTGCATGATCTTGTTACTAAATGGGAGTTGACCTATAGTACTTCGCATACCACGCCAATGCATCAAGGCGGCCAGAACAAAACCCTCGCAATGATGGCAAGTTATCACTGCATACACTTTTTTTCATCGCGTTTACACTACAATTACTACTAATAGCGTCTCCTATATACTTTTTTGGCATTATTGCCTGTTAGTTCTCATATGTATTTTGTCTACCAGGGTAAGTGAGCCCTCAAGTTTACACTTTTCTTCGTTGTAGCTGACTTCTTTACCTAAAGAAGGGCGACATATTTAGATTGTGCTGGTCGTATTCTGCTAGCATTAGGGAAGGAGTGAGAAAAAACGCACTTTTTGAGTGGTTAGGAAGCCGATAAATGTTAACGAGTGTTAAGGACGGGCGACTAAGTAATAAATAAGGAAAGAAATGTGGTTCATTAGGTGTGCCTCCGAAAACACTGACATCACTTTCACTGCCAAATGTAATAGGTGATGTAGTTTTGTGTACCTGAACACTGAACATGTATCGAATTGGTATGGGGTATGGACCCTTCTCATTATCAAGAGAGTGTCGTGTACAAAACAGCCGTGTGCTCACAATACTGTCTGCTTCCATTCCATTCAAGTCATGAAATATCTTATATACAAAGGAGCCCTTCTTATTAGGAACACATTAAATTGCAGAAGGGTTTCTCGAAGGGCCAGTTAGCACATGCTACATGCCCTGCTCTTTCATGAATGCAAGATACTCTTAAGGTATCGTAACAATACAGGGCGCGAAACTAACGAGGCTTTTCATATCAAAACGAAAGGGAACATGTGCGTCAATGAGCCTTTGCTCGCTCTCTGGAAAAAGAGATAATGTTTTTGAGTAGTTAACTTGTACATTTCGACTCATGGCAGATTCTTTCTTGCCTTTCGCTCTTATGTGCACCTGATGGTTTTTGTTCTTGTTTTCAGCTATATATTTTCAGGTTTAATAAATTTACACACAGATGTTCGTCAGCGCTTGTGTCGTTTGTTCAATTTTTCTCCGTCCCGTTTTTGTGCTGTTCCCCTCAGTAACATTGAATTGAATGAATAAATAAAACATGTGGGGACGTTACATACCGGCGAGAGACGTCAGTTCAGTGCACATGCAAACCAGATTGGCACTACTAATATGCGAAAAGATTCTCCTGTGCCTGAATGTAGACTCAAGCACAGAAACATCATGCTTCAACCGCTACTTCAAGGTGGCATGCCTTACGATAGCAAAACACAATTCGTTCCCGAATTATTTGTGTGGAGGCAAAGGCGTTCACATATTTGGCGTGGTATGACGTCTGCAGGAATTTTTTTGGGGGCAAGCCAGCACTCTTTCACAACGGTGACAGGGCGCGGTGGAGTCGCCGCGGTGCTCTTCGCGCAAACAACAATAATTAACACCTGTCAATCGTAGCTTGAATCTTCTAATTTGTATCGGTTTATCCTGTTAATTTACCAGAGAATGTAATAACTTTGAAACCAGCTAAATTTTAATGTTAGACGTTGAAAATAGCCGGGGGCCGGCTGTGTCGACTATGGCAGCTTTTCTTATTCACACCACGAACGTTAGTAGCGAATCATTGTTCTACAAAGGTCAATCATTCCGATTATCATTCATCTGTCCGTGCTTGTTTCTTTCCATAGAGAATAACGACACCTACCAAACACTTTGCCAGAACTTCACCATATCGAGTTTGCTAATACTTGTCTAATACTACGATGATGATTATCCTTGAGCAAGCTATGTGCATTAACAACCACCGAAAAGAAAGTGCATCACAGACTACGCAAGCATAAAAAGCCCGTATGTGCAGTGTGTCTAAGTAACTGGCAAACTTACTTGAGTTGATGACGACAGTGGCAGTGTCCAGGGTAGCACCTGGTGTGAAGTAAAACGTTGCGTGCTTCCTGTAAACATTTAGATAAGTGGAATCAGACTGCTTGTGCGGACGTCACAGTTGGAAAATGAAATACAAAAGTTAGGTGAAATGAAGTAAGTAATCTGCATATTTTCGAAACACACCGCCAACTTTTTTTGACTTGGGCTATACACTTTGGCAAACAAATAACCATGGGAGAGGCAGCGGCGCAGAGCCATGTCGCATTGAATTGCCCTGGACAAGCTTCCTCAACAAATTCGAAAGAATATACTTATGTGCAGTGTATTGCTGAGAAATGATTTCATTGCTTCTGAATCATTTGAAGCGACGCAAAATGCAAATTCTTGCCAGAGATAGCTACGAAATTAAGTGGAACTATCAACCATCAAGAGTAGCCCCTAAATTTCTGTGAAGATGCTGTTGAGTACGGATCCTGGTGAATTCTAAATTACACACACATACAGACACTCATCAATTAGCTAGCACTGAGAGGAAATGCACATGAATTCAGAATCTCGCCTTAGAACAGATATTCAGCTCTTGTAGAGGAAACCGGCCTTAGTGTTGAGCCAATGAATCATAATCTGACGAGCATCATTACAAAATGTGCAGGGGAAGATGGAGGTAGGGTAGTTAGAAGGACACTAACAAGCTGTTCTGGAAGACGAACAACCTAATTAGGAATTGTCAAAACATGAATACCTCAAACAAAACAGATAAAATAGAACTGACGGAGGTGTAGAAGTTCAATAATACGCGGAAGCTATCCGATGTAAGAAGGCACAACATGGAGAGAATAGAGCATGCTCTAAAGAACGAAAAAAGCATCAAGGTGGAGTAGAGGAAACTTGAGATAGGCAGAAACCAGATGTGCGTACTCAAGAAAAAGGAAGGCAAATTTACCTCTAATATGAATACGATACTTCAAATAGCAGAGGAGTTTTACTGAGATCTGTACAGAAGCCAGGACAACCCAGACAATAATGTAATGACTAGCAGTAACCCAGATAACATCCCACTTGTAATGACAGAAGATGTCAGAAAAGCCTTGGAGAGAATGTAAAGAGGCAAAGCTGCTGGTGAGGATCGAGTAACATCAGATCTGCTGAAAGACGCAGGACAGAATTGTTTAGAGAACCTAGCAACCCTATTTACAAAATGTCTTCCGATGGGGAGGGTACCGGAATCTTGGAAGAATGCTACGATAATCCTAATCTACAACAAAGGGAATGACAAGGACTTGAACAACTACAGGCCGATCACCTTGCCCTCCGTCATATAGACTGTTTTACGGAGGGGTTTCAGTGCTGCCATATTGGTCAGTTAACCTCTGTGTTTTGCATCTTCAAAAGCTTAACAAGCAGTGTTCCGTTACGTATGCACGTGAAAATGGTGGGGCTGGTACATACGTTATTTCATTGCTTTAATTGTTCACGTCGCTATACCCAAAAACAAAAAGACATCACCCTAGCAGCCGAAGATGGCGGCAGTTATATGTCTTAGGTTAATTAACCTATACGTGGTATTTACATATGCACATGCTAACAAAATTAATAGGCCACATTAGAATTCAATCAACTAAAGAAACAAGCAGGATTTCTAAGCATCAACGACATTTATACCATCGATCAAGTGATAGAGGAATGCTCAGAATACACCCAACTACTATACATAGCCTTCATAGATTACGAGAAGGCATTTGATTCAGTAGAGATATCAGCTATCATGCAGGCACAACGGAATTAGGTAATCTACAAAACATATGAGCATCGTAGAATTTACAGAGGGTCAACTGCCAACATAGTGCCCCATAAAGAAAGTGACAGATTACCAATAAGAAAGGGTGTAGGACAAGGGGACACGATGTTCCCAATGCTATTTGCCGCGTGCTTACAGGAGGTTCTAAGAGGCCTAGAATGGGAAGAGTTATGAATCAGAGTTATAGGAGAGTACCTTACATAATCTGTGCTTTACTGATGACATTGCATTGCTGTGTAACTCTGGGGACGAATTGCAACTCATGATTATGGAGTTAGACAAGGAGAGCTGAAAGGTAGGTCTTAAATATAATCTGAAGAAAACGAAAGAAATGAACAGCCTCGGAAGAAAGCAGCGCTTTGAGATTGGTAGCAGTGCACTCGAAGTTGTGAAAAAGTACGTCTATTTAGCACAGATAATAACCGCGAAGCCGAGCTGCGAGATTGAAGTAACTAGAAGAATAATCATGGGGTGGAGCACATTCCGCAAGCATCGTCAAATCATGGCTAGTAGATTGCCATTATACCTCAAGAGCAAGTGATGTAACAGCCGTATCCTGCTGGTACTTACCTATGGAACAGAAAGCTGGAGGCTTACAAAGAGGGTACAGCTTAAATTGAGGATGACTCAGTGAGCGATGGAAAGGAAAGTAATAGGCGTAACCTTAAGAGAGAAAAGAGCAGAGTGAATCCGAACACAAACATGGGCTAAGAATATTGCAGTTAAAATAAAGAAAACGAATAGAGATAGGGACGGGCCCATAACGAGTAGACGGGATAACTGCCGTTCATTAAGGATAACTGCCTGCATTCCCAGAGAAGGCAAACGAGCTAGGGGAAGGCAGAAAAGTAGTTGGGCAGAGGAGATTAGGAAGTTTGCGGGGATGAAGTGGCAGCAGCAAGCACAGGACTGAGATGACTGGAAGAAGAAATTGTTTTTGTCCTGCAGTGGGTGTAATCAGGCTGATGATGAATGATGATGACACACACAGACATTCATTCACACACACACACACACACACACACACCACATATATATATATATATATATATATATATATATATATATATATATATATATATATATATATATATATATATATATATATATATATATATATATTGTTAAGGCGTTTATTAGCCGGCAACGAGCGAGAATATACAATGGCGACAGTCACAGCCAAGCACGGGCTCTCAGCGCGAGCGGCGTCCTTGTTGGGTAGCCCCACTAGAAGGTACTCAAGAGTTCGACCCATTTCAGAGTTCGGAGGCTGCGCTACAATTACCGCGGGGTCGAAGAGGGAGCCGCCTGGTGACCTAACAGCTTGTTATTATGAGCGGGTCATAATAAGCCTTCAGGCGCTCCACGTTGACGATGTCTCGCCCACGGCGGCGCATGTCCGAAGATTGTTCAACGGGTTCGATCAGATAGTTGACGGGTGAGGTGCGCTCGATGACACGGTAGGGGCCTTCGTATTTGGGACGTAGTTTGGAAGAGAGGCCAGCTGCAGAGGTCGGGATCGAGAGCCATACAAGCGCACCAGGAAGGAACGTGGGCTCAGAAGTGGTGGAGCCATCACAAATACTCTTGTGCCGCTCTTGCTCTTGCGTCGTAAAAGTCTTGGCAAGCTCGCGACACTCTTCAGCAAGCCTGGCTGTCTCGGAAATAGGTGCACACTCAGATGGATCCGGCGTGTACGGGAGGATCGTGTCCATGGTGTGCGACGGGTGCCTTCCGTACAGCAAGTAGAAAGGTGAAAAACCAGTCGTGCTCTGAGGGGCGGTGTTGTAGGCGTAGGTGACGAAGGGCAGTATATTATCCCAATTAGTGTGGTTGGCAGCGACGTACATAGAAAGCATGTCGCCGAGGGTGCGGTTAAAGCGTTCGGTGAGGCCATTCGTCTGTGGGTGGTAAGCAGTAGTTTTGCGGTGGACAGAATGGCACTCCGTCAGAATGGCTTCGACGACTTCCGACAAGAAGACACGGCCTCGATCGCTGAGAAGCTCTTGGGGTGGTCCGTGGCGCAGTATAAATCGATGCAGCAGGAAGGACGCAACATCGCACGCAGCAGCCGCAGGGAGAGCGGCGGTTTCGGCGTATCGCGTTAAATGGTTGACGGCAACGATGGCCCAGCGGTTACCAGCCGACGTCAGAGGAAGTGGTCCATACAAATCGATACCTACGCGCCCAAAGGGACGGTCGGGGCAAGGTAACGGTTGTAGACTGGCGTGCGACATGTGGGCTGACGGTTTAGGGCGCTGGCAAGTGAGGAAAGAGCGAACGAACTGCTGCACATAGCGGTACATCCCGCGCCAGAAGTAGCGTTGTCGAATGCGATAATAGGTTTTGAATACCCCAGAGTGTACGCGTTGCGGATCAGAATGGAAGGATTCACATATCTCTGACCGCAGACTGCGGGGTATCACGAGTAACCACTGCCGGCCGTCGGCGTCGTAATTGCATCGGTGTAGGAGGCCGTCACGAATGGCGAAATGGCGAGCTTGACGACGCAAGGCACGCGTGGATGGCGTTGCGGATGGATCAGAGAGCATGTCGATGAGCGGGCCGATCCAATTATCCTTTCGCTGTTCGGTAGCAATGATGTCAACATCAATGGCAGAAACAGCAGCCGAGGATACTGAGCAGAGCACATCACCTTCAGGCAGAGGGGAGCGCGAGAGGGCGTCGGCGTCAGCATGATGGCGTCCGTTGCGGTACAGCACGCGGATATCGTAGTCTTGTAAGCGAAGAGCCCAACGGGCGAGACGGCCTGAGGGATCCTTCAATGATGAAAGCCAGCATAGTGCATGATGGTCGGTGACGACATCGAATGGGCGACCATACAAATAAGGTCGAACTTTGTAAGAGCCCAGACGATCGCCAGGCACTCTTTCTCCGTGACGGTGTAGTTTTTCTCGGCTCTCGTGAGCGTACGGCTTGCATATGCTACGACATATTCAGGGAATCCGGGTTTTCGCTGCGCCAGAACAGCGCCGAGGCCTACTCCACTGGCGTCCGTGTGCACCTCCGTTGGGGCTGTAGGGTCATAGTGGCGTAGAATGGGAGGCGACGTCAACAAATGGCGGAGCTTCGCGAACGCGTCGTCGCACTCGGATGACCACGAATTGAAGGGCCCGTTGCTTCCAAGGAGCTTCGTCAGTGGTGGTATGATCGTGGCGAAATTTCGTATGATGCGTCGGAAGTATGAGCACAGGCCCACGAAACTACGCAGCTCTTTGACAGATGCAGGTTTGGGGAATTCGGCCACGGCCTGAAGCTTGGCAGAATCAGGAAGAATGCCGTCTTTGGACACGACGTACCCCAGTATGGTGAGTTGCCGTGCTGCAAAGCGGCACTTTTTCAGATTTAGTTGTAAGCCGGCATTGCTCACACGTGCGAGAACGTCTTTCAGACGTTGGAGATGCGTGGAGAAATCCGGAGCAAAGACAATGACATCGTCGAGGTAACACAAGCACGTGTACCATTTCAAGTTGCGCAGAACGGTGTCCATCATGCGCTCAAAGGTCGCAAGTGCATTACATAGACCAAAAGGCATGACGTTGAACTCGTACAAGCCGTCTGGCGTGATGAAGGCGGTCTTTGGTCGAGCGTCGTCAGCCATGGGTACTTGCCAGTACCCCGAGCGCAGATCGAGAGAAGAAAAAAAATCGGCTCCATGAAGGCTGTCAGTCGTGTCATCGATGCGTGGCAGTGGATAAACATCCTTGCGAGTGATCTTATTGAGCCGTCTGTAGTCCACACAGAACCGCACAGAACCGTCTTTCTTCGCAACAAGAACAACAGGAGACGCCCATGGACTGTCCGAGGGCCGAATGACGTCGCGTCTGAGCATATCGTCAACCTGATCATTAATTACTCGACGTTCAGCAGGCGACACGCGATATGGACGTTGCCGTAAAGGTGGATGGGCACTAGTGTCGATGCGATGCGTAACAACGGACGTGCGACCGAGAGAACTTCGCCCGACATCGAAAGAAGAACGATATTCTTGTAACAGGTCCAGAAGTTGGGAACGCTGTGCGGCCGTAAGGTTGTCAGCGATGGAGGGGCCAAATACATCAGCAGACGACGAATCAGAAGTGGAAACAGCATTGATGGTACACGACCTGGGAGCGCGCGTGTCATCGGGTACGTCCAGGACTTGTGCGTCGTCGACTGGTTCCACTCTGCCGAGACATTCCCCTCGAAGCAAGGTAACAGCGTACGGGAACGGGTTGGTTACAAAAATAGCAGTGTTGCCCTGGTTGACCTGCACGGTCGCGAAAGGTACTAGCAACCCTTTCCTGCTGCAAGCGCGGTCAGATGGCGAAACAAGTCCAATGGTGTCGGAGAGACCAGCGCAGTAGACAGACACAGCCGTCGTCGAGTTTGGAGGCACTGTTGTATCGTCTTTCGTTAGAATCTTGCTCAGTGTCGGGGGACTGTCTTCTGGCGTTAAATGCGAGAAGGGTGAGAGCTCAATTTCGGCGGCGGCACAATGGATGACGGCGTCATGGCGGGAGAGAAAGTCCCATCCCAGGATGACGTCATGAGAGCATGCCTGAATGATGATGAACTGGGTGACATACAGAACGTCCTGGATGACAACGCGAGCTGTGCACCCTGCTGTAGGATGAATCCGGTGCAAACTTGCAGTACGGAGGGATAACCCAGAAAGTGGCGTCGTCACTTTTCGGAGTAAGCGGCAGAGTTTTTCGTCCATAACTGATACGGCAGCTCCAGTGTCAATAAGAGCCGATGCACAAACACCGTCCACAAGCACGTCAATGACATTCGAGGGGCTGCTCTGAGGGCTTTCACATTGCGATGAGGGCTTTCACAGTGCCTGAGGCAAGGACTGCGACGACTAGTTTTCTCGCTCATGAGCTGCCGCACTTGGCCGAATGGGAGACAGGGAACGGCGTCGTGAAGAGGGTGATCTTCGAGATGGACCTGGGCGAGATCGAGGTGGTATAGACGGCGGTTCTTCGCGATAAGGACGGCTGAGTTAGCCAGCAACAGGTGAAGAAATTGGAGCCGGCTGTACGCGATGGCAATAACGGGCCACGTGACCGGCGTAACCGCAGGCAAAGCAGATGGGCCGGTTGTCGGGTGTGCGCCATCTGTTCACCGGGGTAGGTCTCACCCATGTCGCAAGGGCTGATGGACGGAACGGTGGCTGCATGGTAGGCTGAAGCTGAGGCTGAGCGGTTACGTCAACATACGTAGTGGGCACACCCGCTGCAAAGGACGGAGGTCGAGTGGCAGCTTCGGGTTAAGTCAGAAGGGCGGTTGCTAAAACGACTTGGGGTGGCCTGGCGACCACTTGCGCGTAACTCAGGGGCGCAGGAGCCGGAGGCTGTGGAGGGTGGTACGCAGGCATTACCTCCGCTATTTCCTGTTCAATCGCTCGGCGGATGGGAGGGAGAACGGTAGTAGCCGATTGTTGAACAGTAGGTTGGTGGGCAAAGGGCAGGAGCGAGAACTGACGCGCGATTTCCTCGCGGATAAAGGACTTCAGGTCTGCCATCAATGCCACTTGGTCAGAACGGGCCTCCAAGCCAGCAAGCGTTGCAGCTCGTGGTGGGGAGCGTCGGGTCATCGAACGCTGCCGGCGGAGCTCCTCGTAGCTCTGGCACAGTGTGATGACCTCAGCCACCTTGCCGGGGTTTTTGGCGAGCAGCATCGTGAAGGCATCATCGTCAATGCCTTTCATGTAGTTTCGGATCGTGTCAGACTCGCACATGGTGTGATTGGATTTGTTACATAAGTCCAGGACATCTTCAATATAGCTGGTGAATGACTCACCAGCCTCCTGAGCACGTTCACGCAAACGCTGCTCGGCTTGCAGCTTGCGAACAGCAGGGCGGCCGAAGACGTTGACGATTGCGGTCTTGAAATCGGACCAGGTGGCAAAATCGGACGCGTGGTTGTTGTACCACAAACTGGCGACACCGGCAAGGTAAAACACCAAGTTGGTCAGCTTGCCGTCCTCGTCCCATTTGTTGGGGACGCTCACGCGCTCGTAAATGGTGAGCCAGTCCTCCACGTCAGTGCCATCAGCGCCAGTGAAGATGCGTGGATCGCGGACTCTGGGGACACCGGGACAAGGGGGTGGCATTGGAGGAGGCGTTTGCTGAGAAGCGTCGTGGTACATAGTAGATGGCAGGGTACGTGATCGTAGCTCCAAAGGCATAGACAGGGATCGCAGCACTCTCCACCAAATTGTTAAGGCGTTTATTAGCCGGCAACGAGCGAGAATATACAATGGCGACAGTCACAGCCAAGCACGGGCTCTCAGCGCGAGCGGCGTCCTTGTTGGGTAGCCCCACTAGAAGGTACTCAAGAGTTCGACCCATTTCAGAGTTCGGAGGCTTCGCTACAATATATATATATATATATATATATATATATATATATATATATATATATATATATATATATATATATATATATATATATATATATATATATATATATATATATATATAGTTTGAGAGAGAGAGAGAGAGAGAAAGAGAGAGTTAAGAATAAACCTCTGCACTGCAGCGTAAATGCTCTTTGGGTACCCTTGTGCGCTCTTAAGGCAATTATTTCACTACTCTTTTTAAGCTATCCCACGATTTAAAGTCTACTAGTGCTCTGCCGCGTTGTGGCCGCACCTCTAACGCCAACTACACATCTAAGCATAGGTTGGCCAACTCACTCACGAGTCGATTCATTGAGATTCACTGAGACAGATTGGATCAAGTGACCGAGTTTGAGTTTGCAATGAACGATAATTGGGTGAGTTTAATTTCAGGTGAGCACTGCTGAGGAAAATACAGTTAATGGTGAGTCCGAGTGAGCCTTAAGTGCAGGATGTATATCTTGAGTGACATTGAGTCAGCTGTGCCTTTATTGCCGACATATAGTCCTATCTACCCACATAACAGCTTGAATAGCCTTATACCAGTTTTCATTCATGCCCAAGTTTTTTTTTCGCGTATCTCAACACAGTAGCATTCATTCGCCTCCCGTGAAAATGATTGATGAGGGGCGTGAGTCAGGGAGGCGGGGGTGCCATGATCTTTCCCGCAAACTCTTTCACAGGAAGTAATTGATAAAGTTATCTCACCTGGATTGCATATTTGCCAGAAATGTCCCTGCTGTATTCAAGACACCGATAACTCGTTTTAGAAAGTGCCAAATCAGAAGGCATATCGCAGAGCTGCGATTGTGTGAGATATTGGCGTCTACTAGCATTGAAACCGTAGTTAAAGAGGCTAACATTATGCTAACAAAGTCTTGAGTCGACTCACTCAAGCACACTCAGACAAAGGTCAACCCACCAGTATGAGTCCGCGTCAGTACGACTGAGGTGTAATTTGGTGAATTTGAGTATGAGTTGTCTCGACAAACATTTTGGTAAGCCTGAGTGTGAGTGTGTCCACTTTAGGAAACCTTTGATGAGTCGGAGTCTGAAAGAGTTCATATGCGTTTTCAGAGTGAGCGTGAGTGGTGTCGAATATTTTTGCCGACCCATGCTTGCGAGGCTATAAAGGCTCTTTAAAGACAGTGACAGCGTACGTAGCGGGTGATGAACTTTACCGATCATCAATCTAGAATGCACACCTCATAACAGGGACATGAATTATGGAGCTTCCATAGCTTCCTCTTGGCCTACTCGATTGTCACGCTTTTTTTAGAGTGAATTTAATGCAGGTCTTTCTTCAAATATTCTTGCGTATAGTTATTGAACAGTAACGTACACACACTAACAGTTTCATGAAGCACTTTGAGGTAGCTCTACAATTTTTTATCTGGTGCCCGGTAAAGGTTAATGAATATTCTTACATTTTGACTAATTTTCTCAATTCACCAAAGAAACGTTCAAATAAAATTTATGGGAAAGTTGGGATAGCGTAATGTTGCGAAAACTGGACGATACGTAACTCGCAATTCAACATTATGCCTTTAACGAGTTTGTTGTTTCAGGCGTATTTTGAAGACGGTGCTCCCGAGAGTAGGGAAACAGTGTTTTCGCACTACTATGTTTCCCATGGGCTAGTACCATCTGCAGCGTCCAATTAACGCTGTAAACACATTTAGATGCACATCACCTATGTTTATTGGCAATCAAGAACTGGCCACGTTCGGCTCACTGGTTTTTAGTTATTTTATTTGGAAGTAAATATACGTGATTTTCACATGTGGTGCCGCATCATCCCCTGTCTCACTATACTTTACACTGACCGTATATTGCGGCCAAAACGTGGGCAACTCTTACCTCGGTTGTCCGTCGCCGGCGTTCAGTGACCACTCGTACGTAGCTGACGGACTGATGGGGTCGAACACGATCCGTCTCGCCGTCAGGCACTTGAACAAGGGGTTTGTGTTCGTGTCTTTGATGGCCTCGGCGTAAGGAATAGAAGCAAGAATCTGCAAGTGTTGGGTAATGCATTTGCCTTCAGAAAACGCGCAGAAAAGGAAAATTTAAACCATTTTAGTATAATTGCAGCCTACAATAGAACACTTTGTTCAAACACATGCGTGAAGTTCCTCTTGAATTGCACCGTAACCGAATCAGCAATGAATACTGCTCTGGTGTGCTAGCATGACAATACCCTAAAGCTCGTCTTGTTTATTTCGAGCACTTCGTGTCGTGACCAACATACAGTCGATAACGAGCACTTTATCATGCTTATTATCCGCACATTTATTTTCCCCTTTACTGCCCTTCTTTGTTCACCTTTATTGTCTGAATATTCCTTCATTCTTCATTGAGTCCTTTTATTATCAAACACACCAGTAAATTTGTCTTGCATGCCCGTACCCTGTGTTTTATTGTAAATGTGAGGTATCAATGACCTCTACGAAAATTTGGTATACCATTAGAATAATGAGAATCTCTTGTATAGGAAGCCCTCAGCTAGTCTCTGCCTGTACTGAACCTTTCTTGGTTACTTTGAGCCAAGCCTTGTGTGAAAGGTCATGATTTTGAAAATGGAAAAATTGTGTACCAGGCACATAAGGTACCTGCTGTTAAAAGGTGAGATTACAATATGACTTCACCTCAGCCCTTACATTAAAAAGCTCAGTAGTCCGTTTTATGGAAGCGAAGTGCACGTTATGGTGCGAATTTTTGAATATCATGCGTAGCGTTCATTGGGATGATTCCCTGAGGTTGAGCAACGTTCGAATGTAGCTTACTGAGTCACAGGAGTATATGCATAATTTTATAAAGACGGAGCCAGCATTGCGCATAGAACTGACGTTAACCCAATGAGATGCTTGTGTAATGAGAGTAAATATGAAAGGTTTATTTACAATTAATAAATTTGGCAGACAGCGGTGTTACCACAGATAGTGTTGCACTGATTTGACGCCTCAACAGAATACCTTTACAGAGCAGGTGACGTGGCGTTGCGGCAGAATACTGCCACGCAGAATGCCTCTGTCTCATTCCTGCGGGGATTGCAATTTCAATAATTTGCCTTCGTCAAGCACAATCCGTTAAATGTCAGTTCTCGCCGTTCCTGGGTCGCAATAAACTGCGAATAACCTGGGGCTCATACCCACACAATGACCCGTGTTATACGAAACGCACGTAACTCGAGGATAGGATATCAGGGCGTACACAACAATATTTTCACGTTATTCATACCATGACCAGACGGTAATGTTTTTCATACCCTCAAGTCCTCACATCCGAGTTCTAGTCAATGCCAAGTGAAGGAGGCGACTACGAGGCCACCAAAACGTTACCCGGGTAATAAGATGGATTGATAAATTGATAAAATAGTTGAGCAACCTTTGTTAACGAATAAATACTTCCAACTGAATTTCTCGCTGCGTTCAGAAGTCCGTGCACTTCACTGCCTTCGGCCTGATGCACTGTACAAGGAGACCTCACAAAAATGACAAATGTCTCCTGGATGCCATCTTATACAACATGTCGTGGGGTATCCAATTCAACGCTGTCGTTTCTTGTCCTACATTTCAAATGCATAAATGCTTATAAACGAAGCCTCTTTGACAAGGTTACAGTGCTACAGTGCTGCCATATGTTTTTTGTTTTGTTTTGGAAGAAAGGGAATTGCAGCAACACTAAAAAGCACACGAGGAAATTAAAACACACCGAAAACTGATGGGGACAATAGAAAAAAGTAAATCTCAGCATATCCATGGAGTGTATGATGATGAGTAGGGCAAAGCGCTAGAGGGTTTCATTGCTAAACCGTGAGCCATCCGCGAATATCGCCCACTACATCATCAAAGACGTGACAAACACTGTATATATTTATACAGGAAATTTTATTATTCCTAACTGGTAGCTATACGTCGCTTCCGTTCTCCCTTTATAAAAACGACTTTATGGTCGGGGAAGTTGTGGATCGATGATGGGGCATAGTGGGATGTTTTCAAGGACGAAGTAGTGGGCAGGTTGCAAAGGTTAAACTATAGGCAGTCACGTACAAACAAGAAATGGACACATTGGGACAATCTATGGTTCTTTAGCGCGCACCTGGATACAAGTACATGACCATCTTGCATTTCATATTGGCTACTTCTCAGTAGTATTTTATTTATGGTCATTGAAGTGATAGATCAGTTATGGGGCGTAGTGGGATGTTCGCAAGGACGAAGCAGTGGGCAGTTGGCAAAGGTGGTCACTATAGGTGGTCACATACAAGCAAGGGATGGACACAGTGGGACATCCGATGACTTTTTAACGCGCACCTGGATACAAGTAAACGACCATCTTGCATTCGTATTGACTACTTCTCAACAGTAATAACTTTATGGTCGGTGAATCGGTGGATTGGTGATGGGTTGTAGAGGGATCTTTGCAAGAACAAAGTAGTGGGCAGTTGGAAAAGGTTGAACTATAGGTGGTCACGTACATTATGATAGATACATTACACATCACACTAACACATTTGTATAGATTATTGGTTTATTGAAAACATGGTCTGGAGACCATGCTAAATTGGCTTGAGCCGTGGTTGCTCAATTTGGTGTGCCCATGTCAATTTAGAAAGTAGAATTATAAGAAACAATAGGCCGCCTTGGTAACCCTTGAAATCACAAGAACTTATGACAGCTTGTAACGTTCAAAGCTAATTAATTCACTTAAAAATGCAGATCTACCAAAATACTTCTAGTATTGTGGTCTACCACAATACTACATTTCTCCTTAAACGACAGGGAATTTTACTGTTCTCCATCTGGTTTGTCGTCTCTAAGGCACAAACAAACTAGAGGTCTCCCACAAGAATCAGTGTTATCGCCACTATTATTTAATATATTACTATGCACTATTCCTGTGCAGATTGACGTACAAGTGTATGTATATGCTGATGATATCTCGTTTTTTTGCTACAGCTGCAGGTATACATTCACTTTATCGAAGTCTGCAGACGTATATGAAGGCTCTAGAAACGTGTTTAGAAAAAAAAATAAATTTATCGCTGAATGTCAAAGAAAGTGCGATGGTAGTTTTTCCTCTGAGTGTCCCGGTCCATATCACTTTGCATTACCGGCGAGACGTTATGTCGCAGTATAATTTGTGAAGTATTTACAGATCACTTATACTGAAAAACCTAATTGGTGTCCACATATAGAAAACATGGCGGCCAAAGGAACACGTGCGCTGGGGATGCTTCGTAGACTCAGCAACAAACGTTCAAGTTTATGTCGTGATGTTGTCATCATGATTTAGTGCATGTATATTCACCCGATATTAAAGTTCAGCTGCGTCTTGTTTTCCGGTGCACCTGCATACAAACTACGACCACTGGTTCTTTTAAAACGCGAATCATTACGATAATGTGTTGGACTTCTATATATTGTATCAAATACTAGTTTATACAAAGAAGCACGCCTGCCTTCTCTTCGTACTTGGTTTAACATCCTAACCATGCGGACATTTCTAAAGATCTATGCATCGCCATTGAGGAGATTGCAATATATTTTTCTTAATCATCCGACACAATTTTTCGGCAATCTGTGGCCAAGGTTACGGTGTCCCCAAGTCATTTTCGCACAGACACAATTGGAGACATTACAAGTGCAGCTCCGTGAGATACTAATCATAAGCAGATATGTACAAACAAGTCGAACAGAATTTGATGACATATTTTCCAAGAATTGCAAACATTTACCCAGTAGATACTTAAACTGCACTTTGGAGGACGATTTATTTAGATTAAAAATGGCTGCAGTGATAGCAACTGACGTTTCAGTTTGTAAAGAAAAGGCAGAGGTGGGAATCGCAATATTATATTTAGATTGGTCTTTTTCAATTCGCTTACCTGACTTTACAGTAATTTATCATGCGGCATTACTTGTCATTGTATTAGCTCTACGGAAATTACCCCTATCATTATCAGAAGCCGTCATTCTGACAGACAGCCTATCCCTCTGTTCCTTTTTAACTGCACCAAAGTTTTCAATTTCTTTAGAAATATTCCATCCCATCATTGAAAGACATATACGCATTACTCGCTTGTTATGGGTACCAAGGCACAAAACTATACCTCTAAATGAGCAACCGGATGCACTCGCACTTTAATCATGTAATGGTTCGATAATGTCTATTTTGCCGACGTTGGCATTTGTAACTGCGGCACGTTTTGAAAAATTTGCCGTATTGGACAACTTCGCAAAGTCTGCGTTGTCTGTTTCTGAGTTCCCTCAGCTCATTTATAGTTGGAAGAATCGATGATGCTCCTCCGGAAGGACCAAGATTGCACTTACCAAAATACGATGCTGAGTCCCCCCACTGAATTTTTACCTACACACGTCTGGTCTGGTACAGTCACATTCATGCCTACATTGCAATGAGTGTGAATTTCTTGATCATTTCTTTCTAACGTGCAGATTATTCACCAATCAGAGGAAAAGACTTCTAGACGAACCGCTTCGAAGGTCGAGATTAAATTTATCCTTTCCGGTTCTTTTTTCCTTCGGGGCTACCGCGCTGGGTTTTAGCTGCAGGAGCGTTTGCGAAGCCGTTTGCAATTTCCTTTGGGAGACGAGGAGAATAAAATGCCAAGTTCATCGTTAAAAATTATCAAAATGAAGCATATTCATCAAAATCTTAACGTTCGGACATTATAATTATTTTCTTTTCAATAGCAAGACACCGTTCGTTTCATGGCTGATCCCCCATAGTGAGCTGCGCCAGGATAAAAGGGACAAACAAACAAGCAAACATACATACTACGGATGGACAAATCCACGCCTTCAGGAGCTTCGCCCGTAAAACGCGGTGCATGCATGAGCTTCACGTTAAATAGTAGAACACGACAGCATACTTGGGCCTCGACAACATCTTCTTAACTGCTAGCGTCGCATGAAGGCTTGACAGTAAGAAAATAAATGACTGTGCTTGTAGAAATGGCCATTTCAAACTACCCTAGAATACCTGTCTCAAGTATAGTTGCGCAATGTGCGCGAAGCCGTCTATTTTGTTTTTGCGATTGGGCGAAGGGCTCACTACACTTTAATAAGGCCACACATGAGCCTGTGCAGGTGGTGGCTGTGTTGATATATTTGCTGCATGTGGTAATTGAAGTTTCTTGGTATTTTTGTGATGAGTGGGCATTTAATTGTCGCACTGGCTGAAAACCTTACGTGTTTTGACACCTTGCGCGAGTCCACACTTCTATCAAGTAATAATATATGCGTGAAGGAGATTCCTCTCACTACATAAAATTCATATAGTGTTTTTCCTCAAATGAATTTCTAACAATGTGATGGCTTGGTAGTAGAACACCTGATTTTTGCTTTCCTGAGTTAGGTTCTTACTTGACCGAAATGTATTTAATACTCATTTTATTGAATCTTTTAGAACCTTTCTTGGTTTTAGGGTTATGGAGAGAAGCTCATCTTTCGCTTATAGCTAAAGAGGCGGAAGCTGACACCGATGCTATTACAGACACCGAATTGTATGCGAAACTAGCTTTTTTATTTCTATCACGTTGATAAGCGGAATGAAAAGGGTCAATACATCAAGAGACAAGAGGTCAAATGGACTGACTGGAAAGGGAATACCGTTGTTTAGAAAAAGTGGTTAGCAATTTTGAGTACTTGGTACTCTACTATGGGAAAGCATGAGGCCGTCCCGTGGGCCTCAGTGGATCTGGCCTTGTCGACAAAAATTAGTCGTACCTACATCACCCACCATAACAATGAGGCGTTAAACACACAATAAAACTTTATGGTTTGTCTAGAAAAGTGGTTAGCAATTTAGAGTACTGGGCTCTCTACTATAAGACAGCTGAAAGCCGTCCCTTGGGCTTCACACCTGAGGAGGCACCAACGACAAAAATTACGCCCGGGCCGGGCAAAGCGAATTGTTTTGTGTTTAGAGAATTGTTTTATTCAAGACAAATATCGCGAACACATTCGAACACAAACAAAATTGCTGGGTCCACTATGCTGAATATACATACCTAAAGATCCACTGTAGCGGCACAGATTAGATTTCGCCTATTTTGCTAAGCACTGAGTCGGAGTTAATATTGTACGCTAGATAATTTGAAATAGAAGAATAAGGCTTTCTCACTTTATTCAGCTTGTATTCGAGTTTACAACAACAAGCTCTTATTCGTTTTGTACAGTCCAAGCATTGCCGGAACTTTTTTTCTTTCGAGAAAGGACCTCTAAGGAAGACCAGAGAAAGACATCTTGTAATAACTTGCTGCAGTCATCACAAATGCTCCTTGTTTTGAACTTGACTTGCTACCGCCTTCGATGCAGCACAAGTCAAACACGCTGCTTCAGGCAGTGCACGGCAAGGTAGCAAAAACACACAAACGCGCTTCAAACGCGCTGCATTGAAGGTGGTTGCAAACGAAGTTCAAGTCAAGGAGCATATTTTATAAGGTTAAAGACTACCGCTGCAGGAAGTCGTGTCAAAGTGGTGGCAATACATTAATTAACGACTACATAAAATAATGTTTGCTCCCAGTCTCTTGAACTCGCCACTCTTCTGGCTAATGGTACCTGCGTCACTTTGATCACGTTCAGGTAGTGAGGTATGACCTAAATAGGCTTATCAATTTTAGGAAATGAAGGAAAAGTATTACATCAACCTGAATTTAACAAGAAAAGATTAGTTATTGTAAATCTGCTTATTTGTAAAATTACTGTGCAGTGGAACAAACAAAAGATGCATTGAATGGCCAGATAATATGAGGGTCTCTCCTAAACAAATTGAAACATGTGTGCTACTATATGCAACAAAGAGAAAAAAAAAGACCTCTCCTTATGTTGGCCTACTGCTTTGTATACTTCAAATAAATCGATGACAATAAAATAAAAAAAATAGATTCACCGCCCTGTTTCCCGCAACCTATTGCACAATATCTTTGCCATACCCAGTCTTCATCTTCGTCCTTTATCTCTAGTCTTCTGCCACCGGTACTCTTACCATCTCTTACCTACTGCTACAGCTGGCGTATTTAGCTTTTCATTGCAGAACTTTTACGTAGGCGCTTGCGGAAACATACATCCTTTCAACGAGATAACTCGCTGTGAGTTGAAGTGCTACACTTCTGAAGTTGAATAAGAAAATGAGGATATGTTTTGGTAGTGTACGACAAGTGTACAATAGTTAAAATAAATTTAAACTAGGAATGCTTTATCTGTGTCCTATTTGTTTCTAAATAACTGATGACATCATAAGTCATCGGCATAAGATTACAATATTTTTGTAACTTTCTCACTTTAATGTATCCAGTTTATATATCTTAAAAGTGGCACTTTTTTACTATGCATTTGCGTGATCAAGTATTACTTGTTGAAGAATACAATATTCGCAGCATTCATGATGAACTGAAGTTGTGTTCAATGCAGCCCAATCTATTACTACTAGACTGACGAGGCAGATCATAAAGATAGTACGAGTTGTCTTTATTAGGTCGTCAATGTCGAGACAGAGAGAAATAGGCTCGCGTGATCAACGAATAGTAGTGTGGTCTCAGGACTTGCTACTTTAGCGTTAGCGTTAACAAAAACAATTCTATTTACACCCAAAACGACGTATTTAGGCAGACGCGAAATCAAACTTACATGCATTCTGCACAACTGTTTGCTTAAACTGAAATGACAACGAACATTTGAAAAGTTCTATAAGTCATTACTAATAAAAGCTCCCGTATGTAGATGTAGAACAGACATACTCTGTTGAAATATGAAAAGAAAGTCGTGTATTTTTGGTTTAATTTTAGGAAAACATTTCCTTATTGTTTTTAGAAAGCTATAAGCTTTTTTATAAATTGTGGGCGTTGTAAATTAGATTATGAACGGGAAAACGTCGATATTCTAGTGCCGTTATGGCTAGCACATAATGGATAGTGAGGCTTGTGTGCCAGTAAACGGTATTCAACAAACTAGTCGTCAAATGAATATTCTCATAATATAAATATTGCCCATAACACTATCTCCGAGGCCATTAAACTGCTTTTACGTATGATGGATGTGGTAATAAGAAAGCACACAAGGCTATAGCCTGTCACGCATAACCGGCTTATCACAGCCTGTAACGCAACACAATTCCACGTGTTGCCTGCTTATTTCTCGAGTTTCCGCTTGTGACAAAAAAAAAAGGAGAGAAACATTTAGCAGAGCTTTGCTATAAGTGATACAAAAGACTCGCCGTACCTCGAATGCGTCGGTGTTTTCTGTCTTGACATCGTTTTTCTCCGTAGAAGTCTGTGCCAGTGCAGGCAAGAAGCAGAGCTGGAGGAAAGTCAGGAACCGAAGCGCATTCACCGCCGACATTGTTGCGACTGAGAAACCGATCGTAGAGCAGATGGCTTATCTCCTTTCAAGTCAGACCTTCTACACAGTTCCAGCTTTGCACAATGCCATGCAACCTTCCTTCAAGAGAATGCTGCAGCATCACTCTCGCTGCGCAGGATGCTCGCTATCATTGTCCAGACAGCTACTGCATCCTTCCTTGCTGCGAGGATATGCCCGCTCGCGACGCTCCGCTCGTAGTTCCGGGAAGCTGGATATACTTATCGTCATCCGCGCTGTTAACGGCAGAAAATTTTTCCTTTCCACCAAGAAGAAACGGACAAACCGATTAAGGCCCAGGACCTCACCTCTGAAATCCTAGCCGTCCTGTGGGCCTGCGCGAGGGCGGTCAGACTCGGGTTGCGTCAGGTTGAACCAGACCGTCCCTGGAGTGGGCCTAGCCAAGTTAACCCACGTTTATTGCGGACACGACTTTATTCGGTTGTTTCATTGACACCTTCAAGATATAGTGGTCGGGATAAGTGTCTTGATACAGGCACAATACAAAAAGCGATCTTGTGTCATGTGTCGACCAGTGTTAGCATCTTTCACAAACACTACTGTAGGCTACCTGAGCAGGTCATACAGAGCAATGTCTTCAACTCTATTGAATGCCGCAGTACTATACTGTGGCGTGAACACTGTGACGTCAAGGCAACATACAAGCACTTATATACGCCGGTTCTGAAGATTTTTCAAAGACATTGGAACGTTTTCACGTTTTAGGTTGTTGTTTCCTAGAATCTCTTATGTTAGCGATGACCACATTGAATTGCACGAGTAATATATTTTTCCCCAGGAAAACTTTTGTTCACATCAGCTATTTCTTGTCAACTTTATGACAATCGTAACACTGGAGTGCTACAACGCAGCGCATTTGGACCTTTTATTTTTAAATTTCAACGGACAATAAAGGCAAACATTAAGTCAATTTTGATTGCAGAAAGAGCGGTCCGGAAGGCTCGCAAGGCTTCTTCTGCGTCAACAATTGTGCTTATTAAAAATCACGTTTTAGATGTCCGCATCGCGTTTGCACAGTTTGAATTCCTCGCCTAATGGTGGCCAGTAGATACCAAGATATTAAAAACCACCGGGCCTCCGCGGATCGAGTAACATAGTCCCAATGTCAGCTGAAAGAGTGACCTTTTTAGAGGCTTTCCTTAAAACATGCATTGGGTTACTGCTACCAGAACACATGCAGGGTACCTACGACACCACAAATTATCATCAAAAGTTTTGTGTAGGAGAAAAGAATTCACCATGCCATTCTTGCCGATTCTTTAGAGAAGCGTGGGGCCCGCAACGCACGTGCAATAAATTTTCTTCACTTTTTGATGCTGTGGCAGGTGACGATGAAGAATCATGGCTCAGTATTTTTTAATGGGTAGGAACATTCTACGACCCACTCGTTGCCCAACTATCAATGCATGACGGCTTTTTGTTTCTTTGCTGTTTTAAAACGATTTATTACTCACATTAACGAGATTTCTTTCCTGGCAAAAATGCTGCCTATAGGGTCTGTTCGCAAACAAGCTGCAAGGACCAGCGTGACTCAGTGGTAGATTACTGGGCTGGCACACGGGTGACCCAGGTGACCTAAGTTCCAATCCCGTTGTGCCATTTCTGTTTTGTACTTCGTTTTTTCTTACTTCGTACGATAGTGGCTAAGGACACCGGCCGCGGCGGCGGCATCAGCGGCGGACTACTACGGCGCACGCTATCGTTGTTGTGATCTTATTAGAGCTTTCGCTGTAAAACATACAGCAGCTGATGAAGCAGCATTACAAGTATATCCCAAAATGTTTTGGTTTTTAAATGTGACTACAAGCACTTCACCATCTGTCTGTCTGTCTGTCTGTCTATCTATCTATCTATCTATCTATCTATCTATCTATCTATCTATCTATCTATCTATCTATCTATCTATCTATCTATCTATCTATCTATCTATCTATCTATCTATCTATCTATCTATCTATCTATCTATCTATCTATCTATCTATCTATCTATCTATCTATCTATCTATCTATCTATCTATCTATCTATCTATCTATCTATCTATCTATCTATCTATCTATCTATCTATCTATCTATCTATCTATCTATCTATCTATCTATCTATCTATCTATCTATCTATCTATCTATCTATCTATCTATCTATCTATCTATCTATCCGCCTACGTCTGGGTGCTCTCGTGATCACCGCCTTAACTTGTGGCAAACCAAAATTAGTAGGTGAGGGTAAGATTCCTCGATTATTACGACTCAGTGGTCAGGACATGAATATTGTCACAATCTTTTCGCGTACACCGTCACACATTCACCGCCAGACAGTGGCACATACCCTCGGGTGGGTATGGGCCACAGGTATTCGGTTATGTGTCACAGGTGAGTGAGAGTTCATATTTACGAAGGAACGGCGAGAACACACATGAATAATTTTAATGCGTGAGCATTATATAAAAGCTGACATCGGCTGCGTCGGCCCGACGAATGCAAAGAAAAAAAATTGGCAGCATATACACGGAGTGAATGATGGAGAGTGGGGTGAACCATTCGTCCGTCCATTCGTTCTTGCTTCCGTCCGTCCATGCATCCGTCTGAGTGACTGTCCATACGTCCATTCACCCGTCCGTGCGTGCGTCTGTTCGTGCGTCCGTCCCTACGTTCGTCCAAGCATCAGCCCCTGCGTCCGTTCATGCGTCCATCCATGCATCTGTCTGTGTGTCCGTTCGTCCATCTATTCAACACTCCAAGTACCACCATGTCGCATCTTTTCATCATATATTCGATGGATGGATGGATGGATATGGCTGTACTCTTAAGATCGGGCGGTGGCTAGCGCCACCAAGCCGTAATAGTTAATGAACCAAAAACTAGATTTATTTTTTTTCTTTAAAAAGTAAAAAAAGCAATGTACTATGCCCTTTTTTACTCAAAGCTTAGTTATTGTACATTAGTCTGGGAAACGACAACTTCGAAAAGAGACAATGCAATAAAACTGCAAACAAGGTAATGAGAAGTTTCGAAAATTATCATATCAGGCCGGGTTCACACACAATGTTCTTAATAAACATTCATTGATGAAAAGAAATCAAATTGACTAGTATAGATTACTATCTTTCATAAAAAAGAAGAGACTCCATATTAGTAGTACACCAATTTCATCCCCGCGGTATCAGTTGCGCCACCAAACAACAATACCACCGCCAGGACCTACAATATCAAATACCCCGGCTATAAAAAATTGCGGGGAATGACATAGACTTTTACGCCCCACGTTTCAAACAACGTGTAAGAAGTTTTCTTTTACATTCTACGATAACTTACCGATAACATTTGATACACCCTATGCTTGAAGTTTTCACTGTTTTTATTACTACAGTTTCAGTCTTCATTACTTAATGCATTAAGGTACTTAATCTTGAGCTGCTTGAATTATGTGTTTTTTTCATGAAGTGTTTTCATGATATCTTTCATTTTACATAAAGTGTTTTGTAGTGTTTTATGAAGTGTTTGTAAACGTTTTTGTTGTCTGGAGGTATTTGTATGATGTAAAACAGTATTTACACTGTTTGAATTTAGTTGTGCACATGCTGATGCCTTACTGTTTTACATGCATCAAAACCATTTGTATGCATGTCGAATGTCCAAAGGAGTGAAAGCCTCTGTCAGGCCACATGGCCTTTAGTTCTTGCCCCTCTTTTAGTAACACGAAGGGAATAACAAACGAAGAAAAAAAGAAAGTGATCAGCTGTTCCACCATCCACCTTCTAGCTCCAGCGTGGTAGAGCAGGTTGTCGTTGCTCTTGGATTGACAGACGGTGTACACGACACAATTTATTTAGATTTTAAGGCTGCTATCAAAGCATTTCAAGTAGGCATAGTGGCTCCCCTGGCCCATCAGATCCTTAAAGAAGCCAAAAACCTGAAAAAAACACTCATTGGTCTGGTTCCCTGACAATCTTGAAACTATTGAGGCTGCTTCGACCAATCGAAACGAGAAGGTCAATTCGTCTGAACGAGGTCTGACTTACCGTGTTCTAGGTAACGCGTCATGTCCTGGGCGATCTATGCCTCTCTACACGTACAATGAGATATACAAGCACCATCATCTCCCTAGAAAAGTGCTGCCACTGCCACACTCCTCGCTGTGCCGCACCAAGCTGTTATTCTCAGACTGCTACAAACAGAAATGTGCCCGAGTCCTGCGGCACTGCACACTGAATACCCCAAACGGTTCACAAGCCCGGATCACCCCTTTGTGTGGTGGTTATGCGGACTTTGAGCATGTCCTGGGGGGGGGGGGGGCTGTGCCTTTGCTGGTCCCCCTTTCCAACACGAGGAAATGAACAAGTGGATTAAGGCAGAGGACGTCACCTCTCAAATCCTGGCAGTCCAAAGGACCTGTGTGAGGGCGGTCAGGTTTAACCTGACCATCCCCGAGTGGGCGTAGCCAGGTGACGCTGATTTAACTTGCGTCTATTGTGGACCTAATAAATTTATTTCACTCACTCACTCACCTCCACAATGTGAACGATGATGGGTGGGTCAAGCTGTAAGTTCTAAGGTCCATAATGCCTTCGTTGAAGTCGCATGCTGGTTTAAAGGACGGTTGCAGGACGGACAGACAGGTGGCTGTATGCACAGACGAATGGACGGACTTATATGTGAAAGGACAGATGGATGGCCAGGTGGACCGACGACAGATAAATGGACGGATTGACAGGCAGACGGCGCTAGTGGCCATGTATGTTGTTGTGTAGTTGATTACACACAAAGTCGGTAAGATATGTTTTCGTTTTTTTTAGATGCGGAAGCATCTTATACTCGCGCCTTGTAGTGCGCCGTCCGCGCCGTCCGCGCCGTCCGCACCGCTTCTCGAACATTCGACAGCTGACGCGCGCGCATGCGCCGTCGTGCCGTCGCCCACTCTTCCACCATCTGTGCACCCTTCCTCCTCTACACACCGCGTTCGACATCTACAATTCTCCTGATTCTCCAGTGGACGCGCATGTGGCGTCGCGCTTCGAGAACATTCAACAGCTGACAGTGCATGCGCCGTCGCGCTGTATATATACTCAAGGTCGGCGCTCGCTCGCTCA